AGAAACGTGTGATTCAGGAAAAAAATAAGGCTCTGAAGCAAATAAATATATTCAGCCACACTGGACATATGTCCACCATTAGTACAAAGAAGGTGCTCAAGGAACTTGGGTTGAAATAATAACAACACCAGAAAATCAACATTTATTACATAAAATCCTGTGATTATTTTTACAAATTGTCAGTATTTCAGGAGATTGCTTCAAATATGAAGCAAACATATGTTTCTCAAGATATACTCAATGGTATCCCATCCTTCAAATACAATACTACAAAATAACAAGTCATTGATAATGAAGTAGGTAGGAGTCTCCCAGATCCCTTTAGGAATCATGGTCTAGGCAACTTGGGCGCTAGTCTGTTTCTCAACCTTTCCCTTTAGCTGTAAGGAGTGCTTATCACCACAGTAACAACTCTGCCACATATATAATCACCTAAATGCACACAATCGGTGTGAACACAAAACACAGTGAATATTTAAATAACTTTTTTTCAAGTAGTAAGGCAAAAGATACATTGCCATTCACCCCTTTCAAATCCCTCGTGTCAAATATATCCATCTCATTGTTCTTGCTACTTTCCAAAGCAGTTGTGAAGGTCATTACTCATGAGTGTCTTTTCATAGCATCTTCCAAGCCCTGAACTGATTCAACATATTTATGGCAATTTTTGTCAGACAAAAATATTAGTGTGTCCTCTTTCACCTTACTCACCAGATCTGACACCGTGCAGCTTCAGGCTGTTCTCCAAACTTAAAATGATCACAAAAAGTAAAATTTTTGAAATTGATTTGAGACATTGAGGCAAACATCACAGCCCAACAATGAAAGAAAACTTCCAGAATTTCTTCAGACATGGACAAGACCAATGCAATGGAAGTGTTTGAAGAAAGGAAGAGTACTGTGAGGATTAAAGTCAATCCTCCTTTTACTGTAATAGATTTTAACACTATATTTTGGGATCACACCTTGTTATGGCTTCCTCTGTATGTCCCCCTCCAGCCTCATGTGATCATGGGTGGGGCTTTTCAGAGATGCCTGGGTCTAGGCTTTGTGAATGTGGATGAAGGGTGTGATACTCACATAAAGTGTGTGTGGATCTGGATTAATCTACTAATCCTTCTATTACTTCTGGATGTGGGCAATGGGTATGAGTGGCATTATCCACAGGATTGTAGCCAGGATGGAATAAAAGAAAGAGAGTCTTGATGCTTGCTGCTTCCTGGCTACCTCGCCATGAACTGTTTGTTCTCTGCCGTTTCCCTGTCATGCTGCCCTGCCCTGGAGTCAGCCACCTAAGGAATGAATCCTCTACAAACCGGAAGCTGAAATAAATCTTTCCTCCTTTTACTGGTGAGCGTTTGGTATTTTGTCTCAGCAACAAGAAAAGCCATAAAGACAGGCCTAGAGTATTTTCCAGAATCCCTCAACTCATGTTTTCATTATTATTCCTTCATTTCAGTGCACTTCTCCATTAACTCACCCGTTTTTAAAATTCAAATACAAAGTGTCTCACTTTTAAATCCTTTTATTAGATGTATTTAACAATATAGTGAAAAGTATAATATGAATATAAGTATACTATGTTCATCATTTTAGAATGAAATTCCTTTGTCTACATTTGTTTTAACTGCATTGTAAAAGTAGTCTCAAAGAACAGAAATGAAAGGCAAATTTCTTGTATATACTGTGGCATCCAGATGATTGGCAGCAGAGAAAAGGAAATAAATAAAAGGGTATATTGGTCAATTACTTTGCTATCTTGGAATTCTTCATGCTCTTAATCACTGCTATAGCTTTATAAGGCAAGTCATCTTTTCCAACACATAATACTGCTTCTTTTCATTTGTTATTTAACAACAACAAAAAGTCAATTTTCTGTGCCAAAAAACTCCTAGTTTCACTGAATGAAGACCAGTATCTTGGCATATCATCTTAAGCAATGCCATCCCAAGTAAACCCATGCCTTTCTGATTCCAGTTCCTTTGTCCAGAATGATCACTGGCCTTTCAAGGAAGAGAGGTGCAATTTCTTTCTTATCAGCCTCTGTAATGCACCATAATGATGTGTGGTGGGAGTGTGAGAAAAGAAAAGGTAGAAATCAGATAGGAAGCAGAACCTTAAAATTCACATGTGGAGGCAGAAACTTAAAATTTTTCTCAACAGTTTGTGAAAAGTGGACATAATTAATCTCTCACTGTGTTTTTGGTAGAAGAGGGTGCATAAATGGTTCTTGCTGTATTTATTTACTATTTAAAATGAAAACAGATTGTATTGTTTTCCTCATGCTATTGAGCACCTGTTCTGTATTCAAAAATGTGTCAGCAGAGACACAAGAATAGCAAGACTGTGTCTCCGCTTTGAACCGCTAGCAGTCCGGGGAGAGTGAGAATCTTACCTTATCTCTTGAGGCAGCAATAATGCATAGCCATGTCATCAGCACAAAACACGGAAAAAATGAGAAGGAGTATGATTAAAGTATAGGGTATGGATACTGGCAGCTTTGGAGATTAAAAATGAACTACTGGCATAATGGCCCACCCCACTTTTCAATGCATAAGCAGAGCCAATTTCACTTTTATCCATGAGACCATGAGAGGATTTTAGATAAAGCAATGCATTCCATATCTTCACTCATTCCAATATATTGATGTAAGCATAAGTTGAGAAGGGTGTCTTAAATGAAATAAGAAAAAGCTAACTACAACCCAAGAAGTAGGTTATACAAATTTGTCCAATGCCAAAGTAGTAGTCACTGACTAGAATTCTGAAAGTTTGACTAAAAATCACTTTATCTGTATTCATAGACCTTTGGAGAATGTCTAATTTCATTTCCCCTGATAAAGGCTGGTAGCAAAACAATAACCATACTTCAGTCCAGGTAGTGGATAAAGAGGATAAAAAGTGTGCAAGTTGAATGCATACGAGCTACCAAGTGTCTAATGAATTGAGGACAAGAACTAAGCAGCCATAGATAGGGAAATTGAGGGTTTCTTTCTTTTATAGTCATTGAACCATGACAAAGTCCAATCACAATATGCAAAAAGAACAAGACGATTATCCTCAAGGAAAAACAAGAAAACTGGTGAGCTCCAGAAAGGGGGTGAAATAGGAGAAGGAGAGAACAATAAAGACAAAGAAGGAGAAAGATTATATATTCACAGATGACTTTTAATGAACCTTTTGGTGAATATTTTTTCATCTATGTTCAAACACCTGCCATCTGACAATCATATATATTTCTTGCTCTTTGCATAGAGTTTAGCTTGTGCACCAAAATACAACTGTTAGCTCATCACAGACAACAATGGTATCGGTGTTGAATCAAAGACAATACACGATGATTTATGAATTTTGCAAGATACTTCTTTTTGAAAATTAAAAAAAGCTAACAATGATAGTTTTCAGCATACCTTTTATATTTAATTAAGCTAAGTAGATTTTATTCATTGTGCTTTGATGAGGAAAATGGAGAAAGAATGCAGCATCTCAAAATATTGTTTATGCCTGGGGACATGAAAATTTTTAATGGGATAACGCTGTCATTTTGTTATAGTTGACTAAGCTGTTTCAGAGCAGTGACTGTGTGATTATTTTTCTTGTAACTCCTGTGCATAATATAGAACCAGACACATCCAACCATTCAATAAAAGCTTCTTGTATAAAATAAAAAATGGGTTTCAATGAGAGAAATAGAGAAGGTAAGTTCTATTTTCATACAGAACAAGAAGGGTCAATTTGTGATCAAGTATTACAGTAAGTACATTCTGGCCCTTTGAATCTTTTTCTTTTTCTTTGTGTGTTTGTTTTTTTTTTTTTTTTTTTTGATACCAAGGATCAAACTCATGACATCACACTTGTCAGACAGGACTTATGCTGCTAAGCTAAATCCCTGGCCCCTCCTTTGAGCCATTTCAATCCTATTACTTTACATACTGCACCCAATCATAGCTCCAGGTTCCTAAATATCCATCAGCAGAGATACACTTTAGGTAATGCAAAATTAACAGTTCTAATTAAGTCGATAAGAGGACTTTGTGAAGAGAAGCAAAAAAATACATGCATGATAATACTTTATACATGTATTTACTTTTAATATCAATACTACTTGTATTCATTAGGTACAATGTAACATTTCGGTATGAATACCTTGCTCAGAGTTTCAGTCAAGTTAATTAGCAGACCTATTTCTTCACCATGGTGACCATGGGTCAAAATAATGTTCCATGTATTTCGAAATTGTACATAGAGTTTTAACACATGTACCATCATTTTTAGCTGAGGATTTGGGATCCAAGTATCACTGGATGTTAGGGCACAAAAGTCCGTATTTGTACATCTCTAGGCAATAAGACTGCACAAAGGCTGAGGTTAGGCTTTCATTGTACCTGAACCCAGTGACTCTTATAGAAACCCCTGTTCTAATTCATCAAATCCAGGGCAGCACTGGAGAGTGCATTCCTGACTCCCAGAGGCTTCCCACACTTCTGGGTTGCAGACTACAGTTTTAATAGCAAGACTGCACCGTGAGGGGCCAGCTACAGAGAGAGCTGGACAAACGAGAGAACTGAGTGACTTGTTCAGTGTTGAGAGAGCCTGACTGTGGAGACCCTGATTGGAATAAAATAGGAACAAAACATGTGAGTGGCACAGTCATAAACTGGGATGGAAAGATGGGGGGTAAAAGCTGTGAGGGGTATACAGTGTTATTTCACAGCTCCAAAGTGAAGGACAAAGTCTCGCCAGGAAGAAGAAATGAACCACATGAAAGAAAATTTTAAAAAAACCTCATTAACAAAAACCCTGAACTGTTTATGTGTTCTGAGATTCTGAAATATATACATTATCCATTTATATTTCAATTCATAGTCTAATGCAGTGGTGGCGAACCTATGGTACACATACCTCAGCAGACAGCATCGTTGAAAGATCTAAAAGGTTCACTATCATAGGTCTAACGTATAAGATTCTTAGATGAACCTAGTGCTCATACTATGACTTACCAACCACCTTCTCCTTAGGAGGACTGTCTGGTGATTCTTCTAGGAAAAAGCAAAAGTTCAAATAAATCTTTCTTTTTTATAGATCCATACATGTCTCCTGCTGTCCTAAAATTCTCATCCTTATACTTCCATACTTATGACTTACCAAACACCTGCTCCTTAGGAGGACTGTCTGGTGATTCTTCTAGGAAAAAGCAAAAGTTCAAATAAATTTTTCTTTTTTATAGATCCATACATATCTCCTAGTGTCCTAAAATTCTCATCCTTAAACTTCCATACTCAGAATAACATAGGGTCAGTGGACTGGCTGAGCTGATATGATTGGGAATTTTTCCTGGGCACCCATGAAAATCCTAAATGGAGGATATTCTAGCCTCATATATAAATGTATTTGCATTCAGTGCACATATATTCCCCTATACTTTAAAACTCTAGATTTTTATAGTACTTGATATAATGTAAATGTTATGTAAATAATGGTTCTACTACATTTTAAGAGAATAATGACGTCCATCACTATCCTAGGATAACCTCTCTAGCTAAGTCAGTGGCTAAACAGCTTTCCATTCATATTTAGTTGAACCTGTTCATATGGAAACTGCAGATGAACTGTGAATGTGTGTTGGAGTGGGGAGAGGTGCCTGTATTTAGTACTCAAAGCCACGCATAATTAGGATTTAATCTGAAAATACAAAAAAATGCATGAAGGTAGAGAAGGGGGGAGGTTGGGAGTGGGGAAATACGACTGCTAATTTTTCTATTTACCTGCATGATGTAACTTATTTGCACAGTGTAAAAAATTCATCTCTCTGTCTTTTACGCGTGCATGTGCGCACACGCGCGCACACACACGGAACTTATCATGGGAAATGAAGTATTTTGTTTACTTTCACTTTCTATTCCTACTTAAACCTCAAAAGACACATTAGTCATGAAAAAGTAGGCTGTAAGTACCTTCAATTATATGTAGGATTGCAATGCTGATGAGAGAAAAGAGATGGCACTCACACTGAACAACCCCATTTAAATTACACCATGTGTGTGTCCAGCTTTAACAAAGTTCCCCACGTGGCAGCTGTGAATCAACATTTCACTTTGGAAGGCACAACTTAAGGTTATTTTGGGGAGAGTAGATGGGTGGCATGCTTAATATGAGCTTAAGTGTTAGCACAATCAATCCACACCCATTCTCTGCTGCATTATCAACTTGCTAGCCCGATAAAGCTACTGAAAAGAATTCCCAGAATAGATCTACTATGCAGAAATTACAATGCTTTGATGCTTGACTCAGCAGTGATGATGGTCAGACTAACAGTGGAAAATTATTAAGTCTTATAATAAAGATTCCATGGAAAGTGAGACTTTTGGAACTCTGTTCACTTGAGAGACATAATAATGATGGAACTAGAAGATAAAAAATTTTGAATATTACTATGCACTAGATACCACACTCCCTTTCATCATCACATGGAATACTTATAAAAATATTTGAAGTATTTACTCCAATCAACTTGTCTTATAAAAATGTGAAGTTAAATCACTCAGGGACAACATGCATCATGGACTTGAATCTTAGATTTACTACTAGCAACTGGAATCTGAAATTTTTGAGTAGACTCAAGGTCCATTGGCAACCAATACAACTACTAGTTCACAGTAGTGTCAAATTTACTGCAAAAATAAAGATTACTTACAATGTTTTTTGTTTGTTTATTTTGTTTTGTTTGTCTTTTTGAGACAGAGTCTCACAATGCAGTTTAGGCTGGCCTTGGGCCACCTTGGAGCCCAGGCTGATCTTGAACTTGCAACAGTCCTCCTGCCTCAGCCTCCCCAGTGCTGGGATTACAGAAGTATACCACCACACCTGGCTACTTAGAGTGTTTTAAGGAACACACTCCCCAGCACACACACACTTCAAAAACTAGCAGTGCTGGCTCACCTTTACTAAGGTAGTAGGCCTTACTTGAAACATACTTGGAGATTTTAGAATTACCACTGGAAAAGCCAAATAAAGCATCCAAAAACCATTTTTAACATTTGGGCTATCTCTTGTTTTATGGAAAACAGCACATGTGTACAATACTTGGTTCTTGAGAGGTACAATGACATGTTCAAATCTTTTCTAGTGGGTTTATTTCTGCTCACGATCTTAAATGTCTTGCCTTGCCCTTCATATTCTGCCCAAATATATTTAAAATACAACACAATGTGAAGTCTGTGGTCATATGTCACAACATTTTTGTTCCCTATCCTTCTGATCGAATGCCAGCTCCTATGAAGGTGATGGTGGAGTTTTACTTCAACCCCTTCCTTCCTCCAGTCTCCTGCAGATCTCCCAGTTCTTTTAGCTGTGAATGGCAATAAATCCCATCTGCAGGCCCAGCTTCATCCAAAATCAGTGCTGGGAATGGCAGGAAGCATCAGTAAGCTCAGTCCCAGCAGAGAAGCCAGAAGGGAACGGGTAGTAAGCGTCACTGTATTTGCTTCATGGACCTTGCAACACCCAAACACTGCAAGTAGCATCACCCCCAACAGGCAGATGAGAACATTGAAGCTGAGATTAAAAATAGTTGGGCCAGCTGCACAATGTCACTGGTTAAAAAAATCAAAAAAGCAAACAGAGAAAGCAAAACCTAGGCGCCAATTTCCCGCCTCCTAGGCTGAATACCGTGCAATATAGTTTCCATGTTTTCCTGGAAAATTTTGTAGAATGAATGAGAACAAAAATAAAGTTAAGTTTTAGTACAATACTTTGGCAAAATGTTAGAGCCATCTTTCTGTACAAGCTCACATTTTTTACAAAAGATGTTTAACAGAACACACATGGCTCAGGCAGGCTAGTTTTGTACACAGACACCAAGGCCAAGTTGATTTCACCGCAGTGAAAAGACAGAAGCCCAAAGTGAAACAGATCACTGGATATGCAGCTTGTCTGTTTGCACCGAGTGAGTGAATTCAGTATGAAGCAGGTGCCTTTCACAGGGCGTAACAGACTCTCACTTTTGATCTTACTGCTGTGCCTCTTACCACACTCTGATACCTGCTGTCTTTCTTGCTTGGAAGGTGCTGGGAGGGTGAAGATGGTTGGAGACGGGGATCCAGGAGAGAACTAGGTGAGACCTTCATGTAAAAGTCATTGTTCTACTGTGTCAGTCTGGAATCTTATGAAAATGAACCAGGACCCTGTCCCATACTCAAACTCAGTCTTGCATCAACCAGATACTGAAGTAATGAAACAGAGCCAGCATCGTCAGCTGGCATCATTTCCCGCTCCATCCTGGCCTCCACCTTCACCTACTGACCCACCAAGATCGGTCTGATGCTCAACCTACATCACATGAGGAAGAGGCTGGTTCTAAACTCCTCACTTAGGGCAAGAACTAGAACGAGGCTATGGTCTGTTACTCAGGGTTCATTATTTCTTTAATTCTTCAGTTCCTTCGTTTTGCACTCATTAGTGACCTTGAGCTTGGTATTAACCACCATGGTTGGCAGTAAACTACGTGGAAGAGAAGTGGGAGCCTGGTCTTCATGGGCTCACATGTGACATATTGGGGTGGTGGATCTTAAGCAAATACAAACACACACCAGTAATTCTGTTCTTTCAAATGGGACGTGACAGGTGCAGTATGGGAGAAGTACAAGGTTGGAGGGTGAGACTGAATGTGATGGAAAGGATGAGCAAGAGCTGCACCCAGGACAAGTACAGGCAGAGAGCGAATAATGGGAATGAGCAGCAAGGTTGGCTGTGCTGAAGGCCCTGGGTGAAGGGCTGAGCGATGTGAGGCACAGCTGCTAGCATGTGCTGGCCAGGCAAGTGGACACGCTGGACTACAGTATGCAAAGCCCTGGCTGCTCCCAGCTAGACGTCCTTATAAATACACAAGCTCATGCACTGAGGTGTGACATGGACCTGAGGATGTTACTACAAAAGACAGGGACAGGAAGAGAGAGACAGAGACAGAGACACAGAGAGAGACAGATAGTGACAGGGAGTGACACACAGAGAGACAGACAAAGACAGAGAGAGAGAGGGAAAGTCATTGAGAATTAAAGAATTTGTGTTCTTCAAAAAAGAGATGTCTAACAGAATTCTGGGCCTTGTCCTCAGCATTTGGAAACAAAACAAAGATAACCATCATATGCACCAGTAGTCTTTTCTGAGTGGTTCAAGTTAACACAATTTACAGAAAAATAAAATGGAGAAAAGTAGAAAAATAAAGAAATACAGCAATACACAAGAGAAAAGGGGCCAGAAGGTGTGTTCCACCTATGAGTCACCACCAGAAAGAGAAAAAAGGCTGAAGAAAAGGACAGCAAAAGGCTATGACGTCATAAAGCAGCACAGTGGTTACCAGAAGAGAAATCTGGACAGTTTTAGCAACTGGAAACACTGCACAGGTTTACGAAAAGTAAAACATTTGGAAATTCATGGCCCAAATATAATGCATTTCTTTGGACAGACATAAAATTCTGCTTTATGTCCTGTCATCCGGGAGTCCAAATGACCTGGCCCAGCTCTGTCTCTCCCTCCCATGGGAATATGGGCTGGACTGTGAGTCTGTTTCCTCCTCTGTACCATGGGATGAGGCTCTGTCCCCAGGTTGTCCAGAGGAGGAAATGAGATGACATGTAGAATGACCACCAGAACTGCTGTCACTGAACAGATACATCATGAATGCTAATGCTTTTTTTATGAGTTACAGAAGCTCCAAAATATGGTATCACATTAAAACTAGATATATAGATGATGAAAATAAGAGGTGATTCATTCACAAAGAAGAGCCAGGTCTTGCTTTTGGTGTGCAAGCGTGCATGTGTGTGTGTGCCCTACTGCCATGCCTTTTCCATAGAGAAGGTGCTTGAGAAACTTCAGTTGAATGAATGGGAACACTACAAATCTATTTTTGTTATTTGTTACTGAAAATAATTTAAATTGTTAATTTCTGAAAAGTGTTGTATTCAGAAATCCGTCTCAACTATGAAGCAAACATGCACACCACAAAATAGTTCCAATGGTACCCCTTCCATAAATGCAACATATTCCAATAGAAGGTCACTGGTAATGAAATAGGCAGAAGTCTCCCAGTGACTCTTAAGAGTAATGCTCCAGCCAGCTTTGACCCAAGGCTGTCCGGGAACATCTGAGCTGTGATTAGCATCCTCCATCACATACATGCATAC